CAGTCCTTCAAAAAAAATTCTTCCTACTTTTTGCCAAGGATGGGGGGCCACGACACCTGCACAGTGCACGTAGCTCCGCGGCTGAATGGCAGGCTCACCCTGGATAAGGGTTGTGCTGACTTCTGTGTAGCCCACGACATCAGGATCGAAAGCCTTCTCACCTTCAAGCTGGTGAGCCCCGCCAACTTGAGGGTCCTCGTCTTAAACGACCAAAGCATTCAGATTGTGGCGAATTGCTTGCTGCACCACAAAGCATTGAACATAGATGCAGAAGGTAATGATGAGGGTGCTGCTACTGCTGACATTGTTGCGGGTGCTGCCGAGGGTGGTGTTGTGGGTGCTGCTGATGGTGCTTAGGATGGGATCGCTGCTATCTATGCTATGATAATTGAATTTGAAGATTTTGTTTTGTCATGATGTTATATTTGTGTTAGACTTCGTATTGTAGCCCTACTGTGTAAACCATACCTTATTGGTATTGGACTTGTATGTCATCATTATATATATGTGATAGGCCACCCTTTTGAGGGTTGAGCGAGTTCCCCAAAAACCTACGTTTTACATGGTATCACAGCATGCGGCAGCCACCTGGATTTGTTGATCACACTCAACCTCGTCATCTCTGTCATCTGACGAAGGCCATATATGGACTGAAGCAGGCTCCCCGTTCCTGGCATGCTCGCCTGGCTTCAGCTCTACGCACTCATGGGTTCATTCCTTCGACGGCTGATACTTCACTGTTCTTGTTTCAGCGACCGAGTGTGACCATGTACATCCTTGTGTATGTGGATGATATTGTCCTCGTGAGCTCATCTCCGACGGCTGCTGATGCTCTTGTGACTGCACTTGGTCGTGATTTTGCAGTTAAGGATTTGGGACAGCTTCATTTCTTCCTGGGTATTGAGGTCGCTCATCAGTCTCGTGGCAGTTTGGCTCTCACCCAGAAGAAGTACTCTCTTGATCTCTTGCGCCGCACTGGTATGCTCAAGTGCAAGCCATCGCCTACGCCCATGTCCTCCACTCACACCCTTTCTGCTGTTGATGGCGCTCTTCTCTCTCCTGAGGATGCTACTGAGTACAGGAGTATTGTTGATGGCCTGCAGTATCTGACGATCACGTGTCCTGATCTCTCCTTTGCGGTTAACAGGGTGTGCCAGTATCTTCATGCTCCTACTGATGTACATTGGTCTGCTGTGAAGCGCATACTACGTTATGTGCGTCTCACTGTCTCCTTTGGTCTTCACCTGCGCCCCAGTTCCTCCGAAGTTCTTTCTGCATTCTCTGATGCTGATTGGGCTGGGTGTCCAGATGACAGGCGATCCACGGGGGGACATGCTGTGTTCTTGGGTCCTAATCTGATCGCCTGGAGTGCACGCAAGCAAGCCATTGTTTCCCGCAGTGGCACAGAAGCTGAGTACAAGTCGGTTGCCAATGCGACTGCCGAACTTATATGGATTGAGTCCCTACTTCGAGAGCTAGGAGTTGCTCAGCCACATCCTTCGGTCCTTTGGTGTGAAAACATCGGTGCTACGTTTCTGTCGTCAAACCCGGTGTTCCATGCACGGACTAAACACATTGAGATTGACTATCATTTGTGAGGGAACGTGTTGCACAGAAGCTACTACAAGTCAGGTTTATCTCTTCAAAAGATCAACTTGCAGACATCTTCACCAAGCCTCTACCTTCTCCCATGTTTGAGGTCGGTAGGCGCAATCTCAACCTCCTAGATACTTCAGGAGTGAGTTGAGATTGAGGAGGGTGTTAGACTTCGTATTGTAGCTCTACTGTGTAAACCATACCTTATTGGTATTGGACTTGTATGTCATCATTATATATATGTGATAGGCCACCCCTTTGAGGGTTGAGCCAGTTCCCCCAAAATCTACATTTTACAATTTGAACTACTATGCTTATGGTTATACTTATGGTTTTGGTTGCGCTTATTCTTATGGTGTATGCTTATGCTTATGCTTATGGTTACACTATATATGTTTGTGTTGTGTGTGCGTCTATTGGTAACCTCGCCAATCCTAGAAGAGGTTACCACCTCACTTGTGTTATGTGTAACCAAACAACACCTCTTTCCATCTAGGTAGAACATGCACACAACCAAACACAAGTTTCGATGTTGCTGCCCAGCCAAGCTAGAGGGGATGTAGGCAAACAAACAATATGCAAAACTTGGTTTTTGACCTGTATTCACTCAGCCAGGCTGAGTTGGGTCGTAGATGCAAAGTGCCCAAAATTGATGCGAGTAACCAAACGCATCCTAGAACGAGCGGATTAAAGCATTGATCGCACAATACCGACACCAGGACATACTTCTATAATAACTAAATACTTCATCCTCACTACCTTATTTCTCCCGACATGCATCCCATTCCCAACATCACACATGTCCCACATATGCCACCTCAGAACAAATTCAATAAATCAAGCCACACAACTTCTACTTGGTACACGGCCATCTCTCAAATTGTTTGCTCTTCTGTGTAGTACCACTTTTATTTACTACGCAGAACCCAACTGCCATCGCTCAAATTGTTTGCTCTTCCATGTAGAACCACTTTTGTTTACTACACAATCGCCCTTACTTGTTTCTTTTCATATTCCATACACACGTGGCAGTCAAAGCTCTTCTACCCCGTTTAAACAGACGAGGTAGTCAAAGGGTCTAGATGCATCTAAGAGCATCTCTACCAGATCCTTTAAAACCTCACCAACCCTTATAATACCAGTAGTTTAACAGGATTCGGTAAAAATATCAGCGAGAGCAGATCCGGTGAAAAAATCCTGGCTCGTAAAACCCCGGTTTTGCCGCTATATTTACCGGATCCGACCAATTTAAGGTTCCTATCCGGCATTTCCACCACCCACCTCCGCCACAAACACCCCGCTCCGACGCCAAATCCACCCTCTCCGGCGAACGTTTTAGCGCACACCTCCTCTTTTCGAGTAGATCCATGTCGTGTAGAGGTCACGGGCGTGATGCTCACTACCGGACAAGCGAGCCCGCCACGACGCCGAGGCCGGCAGCTCCAGCCGTCTGCTGGCCGAGGCATGGCGCTCAAAGCAGGCCAAGAAGCGTGCCACCCTCCACGGCAGCAACGTTTCAAGGGCGTGGAGCAAGTTCGACGAGATTAGGGAGGCCCTTTGGCCGACGACCAAGGGTCTCCACGAGGTGGAGATCGAGCTCCACGAGGTGAAGGACGCGTAAGGCTCCACCGTGTGGATCGAGGCAACCAAGGAGGGTACCACCTTGGGTACACTCTGTACAAGTTCGTGACCGAGTACTACCTCAACGTCAAGCCCTAGAGTAGTCTAGATTTAGCTTTATCTACTATGTTTTTAAGTTTATGTGTTTGAATGTGTGATAAACTCCGGTGAAGTATGGTGGCGCAAAGTTTAAGTTTAGATTATGCGGTATTGTATACCAGATATGTTCTATCGTGCCTTCGCGATACTGCAAAATCATTTTACAGGATCCCTTAACTGAAATTCGCGGTACCGCGTTTTACAAGATCTGCTAGAGATGCTCTAACACGGTTGTTATCTACACATCTCATCCTCCACATATTCTTAATCAAATCAAACCGCCAAAAATCAAGCTCTGATGTGCGCAACCTCATCACCACACAGAACGCCTGGATGGCGTCACCGCACGCCCGAAATGCCTTCCAAGTTCCCCGATTCACCCGGCTACGCGTCGCGCCTCGAGGGAATGACGGCATGCCCGTAGAGCCTCTGGCGTGCCTCACCTAAGCTTCGACCGGCCACGACACCGCGCCTCCCTCGTGCCTCGCCTCAGCTTCACCCGGCCATGACGCCGCACCTCCCAGCTCCTCTTCTCCCGTC